ATGATATATATATATATATATATATATATATATATATATATATATATATACATGCCCACTGTTACAAGGACAAGGTATTGTTACAGTGAGTGCTGTAAAGTCTTAAAAGTCCTTACCTGAAATTCACACACTCTCTTGTTCCCAGTTAACGTCTTGGTGCTGACAGGGCCAGAATATGGTTACGGGTAACTAGAGCGAACGGTTGCCTGTTAGCTGACTGTTCATGTTTCTAAGTGAGATATCCTTGGCTGGCTCTGAGTTTTCATTTCTACTCTTCTACCCATGAAATTTAGGCAAGTAGCCACTATCCACTGGCAAAAGTTACATGTGATAATTGGGAGGAAATATGTTTTTTAAAAATGTTGGTCCCAGGTGGGCCTGGTGGTGCATGCCTATAATCCCAGCACTCAGGGAGGCAGAGGCAGGTGGATCACTATGAGTTCAAGTTCAGCCTATTCTCAAAGCAGCTAATGCTATACAGAGAAACCTTGTCTCAAAAAACAAAACAAAAATGTGGTCCCTTTCCTCTTTCCTTCTCTTGCTTCTCCAGCTATAAGGACACTGTGCTGATGTGGTGTGGTAAAATCAACATAGCACCGCTGAGCCAGGAAATTCAACTCACATGCAAAACAATGCTTTAATTTCTCTCACACTCCTGGGCAGAAGAGCCTTTAAACAACAGCATGCCAATGGGAGCCACACTCTGCAGCCTCTCCAGAGACAGGCTTACATTCTTGCTTAGGTATAAAGAATTCCTTGTGTAAAACTAAAGAGACTGGCTTGGGGCTTTCATTTGCTTCATTCTGTTGAAACATAAGCATTTCTACAGAGTGTGTACAGACAGTCAGGAGTCTGGTGAACTTTCTAACAATTAAGTCATGTTAGTATAACTGACTTCATTTTCCTAAAATATGGTTCCTCAATTGGAAATGTTTTCCCCCCACCTCCAGTTCCCTATTTATAAATATCCTGCTGTGGAGTTAGATTTAATGAGACCTTCAGCTTTCATTTCTACTGTGTGGACTCTGGCACCCATCTCTACATGATTAAAAAGCTTCTCGCTCCATTATAACAGGAAAATTAGAGTTTTTACTATGTATCAATCATGGGAACTCCATATAATAAAGTGTGCTAATAAATTCTATTGATTTACTGGTATAAGAATAGCACATAATTAACTTTTTTCCACTTACAATGTTTTAGAATCAAAACATGCTCCATCATCACACCCAAAGGAAAGTTCTTACACAGTTATTTGACTACACAGTATAGCTGTGTATACTATACACTCCACAAAAGATGCTGATGTAAACTACAAATAATTAAAAATTAAAAACCACAAAGAACAGGTTAGTGCAACAGTCAGAGAAAGCCCACATGGTACCTAGATATGAATGGGCAGACTCCACAGGTGAGAGCATGTGAAGAAAGGCAATGCTGATGAGCTCAGACTTATGATGGTCACAACAGTTCTTGCCGCTGCACTCTTCCTACAGAGGATTCTTACAGACAACCACCTAAGAAGCTGGTGAATAACCACTCCTGCCTACCTGGAACCCTCAAAGCTAATAACAGGCATGTTAAGATTCTCCATTAGCAATTCCTTTCTGGTGCCATTTTGCAGAATGTATGAGGAAGGAGTGATCCAACAGACAAAGCAGTAGCTGGTCCACTTAGACCCAACAGGGTGGAAAGAGCATTCTGAGTTAATCCTTGACTGTTCCTAGAACATCTCCTTTTACTTTACTTGGGAGCAATGTGGAATTTTTGTGATTCTGACTGTTGTATTCAAAGGCTAGCTCTAGCAATGTCCTGGAATACCCAATCCAACCAACTACGGGAGGATATATAAATTTCCTCAATCTCAGAAGTCAGTGAGATTTGGGTGCAGTAGAAGTAAAA